GAAAAGCAGTCTGAAGTTGGTTGCAGTTTTTTTCATCTCACTCTGTATTTTTGGAAATTCTATATTTTTGTAGGGGGATCGACATATTCCATATCTACATTAGATCTATTGGTTAAAAGAAATACTAAACTAAATAGATAGACGATGCTTGAAAACAGTCGCTGGCTTTTTTTCATACGCATTAGTGTTTTATTATTCAATTGGTGGTTATTCAAAATTGTAACTCCATGTGGGGGTGGTACCGGAAGGTCTGGTATATCTCACGCTTACACAAGATTTTTTGTTGATAAAAATATTGGGATATTCGAAATATGAACTCATTTTATAAGCGTTGTGAATATTCAAAATATTGACCCTTTCTGGGGAAGGTAACGAAAGGAGTGGAATGATATTCTTCAATTTCCCACCTGACCTAACACTGTTAAAAATATTAGGATTTGCAAAGTTGGCCTAAAACGGAATAATCTTATTTAATTTATTTTCCTTGAAAATGTTGACCATTTGTGGGAGAGGTACAAGAAGGAGTGGGCCGATATTGACCATCTTCGAACTCGATCTAAGTTTGACAATAATGTTACGATGTACCAAGTTTGGACCAAATCGGTTACTTCCACTTTTCACCAGCCAGACGATGAATGGATGGAACGACTCCGCTAGATCGACACCAAATGTCCAGAAACAAATTTGTTCCACACAGACCTCGGGTATTAGACCCTAGACCCTATTGAATTATTGCCTATATTCAATGATATATCTTCTATAGTCATATGACTAAGGGTATAAAAATACGTGTTTATTGTACCACCGATCCACGTGTAATGTTTCAGTGTTCCCATTTTTTTTGATCCGCATACATAACTCTGAAGGCGTAAGAAAAAAAAAATAAAAATTGGCTTCGAATGCTCATAACGACTTCGAGGTCATAAAAAATGTTTTTTAAGATCCGTGTTAAATGATTTGGATGCATCCAAGGATCTTAAAAAATCAAATTTAAAGGGTGCGACCATACTCTAAGGTCCTGGAATTTTTTTCTCAAAATTTTGCTTTATAGATCCTAAGGTACTATAAATAAAAAACCTTAAAAATCCAACTTGATATGTTTTTTTTTTTTTTTTCAAAAAAATTCAAGTTGATGAAAATCTTAGATCAAGAAAATGCGCGTCAAAGCTACTAATTAGCAATATTACAGTTAGATAGTCCTTTAGATAAAACTGGATTCAAGGGTTTTAAAAAATATTCTAAAAGTTCACGTCGAAAACTTCGGAGATCGAGCATCAAAGATATTCTGCATAATTATAGCCAGATGGTTCATTCGTTAAAACTCTTTAAAAATGCATGATTATTGTCAAGTAGGTCCTTGAAAATGTTTTTCTAAAGAAATTCCTAATTATAGCTTAGTTGAACCTTGAAAATATTTTTCTTTCAAAAAATATTCTTTAAACATCCACGGAACTGGTCCTTCAGAAAACATCCTTGAAAAGTCCACGATTGTAGCCAAGGTGTTTTTTTTTTAAGAGAAAGGGTGAAAAGTTACACGATTATAGCTTTGAAGGTCAGTCAGAAAATATCTATTAAAACCCACGATTATAGTTCAGGTGGTTCTGCAAAAAAATTCTTCAAATAATATTTTAAAAATATCCACGATTATAAAATATGTTATCCTTCAAAAAATCTTAGCAAATTCAAATCAATCGGTACTTCAAAAATATTTTGTAAAAAATACGTTCTTAACGCATTTGGTTCTTAAAATATATTCTTAAAAATCCAGGAATACTACTCAGATGATATTTTAGGAAATATTAGAAAACGCTTGAATATAACCTAAACGATCCTTTCAAGAAATTCTTTTAAAGGTCTTAGTTCCTTAAAGAAAAACATTCATAAAAACACGGTTAAGTCTTTCAAAAATATAATTTAAAAAGCACTGGCAGGCCCCTAAAAATTCTCTTGAAAAGCTTGAGGTTATAGGGTAAGGTATGAGAAGGCTTGGATATAGACGTATCCTAATATGAATATATCTGTATATATTTTGTGTGTCTTAAATTCTAAGTTTCTTCACAATTTTCATGTAATTACCACCTAGTACGCTGAAATAACCATTAATTCTACCCCTACTGATAAAATTCCATCTTATTTACAATAATTTTTATTAAATTTACATAAATTTATCCACCTTTTAATTCAATTGCATTTTCATGCAATTCAAATTTAAATTTGAGTGTTTTTCTATTTTTTATTCTAATCTAATAGACGACTACACTACATGCACCGCTGCACTACTCTGTATTCTGTGTGGTGGTTATTCTAATTGAGTTTTCATTCAAATCACCATTCAGAAGTAGCCAGCCGCCTCTCAGCAGCATGTATGACTGACTAACTGCCATGCAAAATTATGAATATGAATTTGCCTCGGCTGGCTGACTGTCCGTCCGTTCGCATGTACACGTAGAACAGCTGATGACGACTGGCTGTGTGGATGGCGTGAGTTGTTAGCCCACAAAGTCCGTTAGTCCATAGAGAACAGAACAGCCTATCCATCCATCAAACTATCCATTATTCGAATCAGTCTTTCATTAGCAATGAAAAAATCATTATAATTATTAAAATTATATTTCTTTTTACATTTACACTGGGTTGCCATTTGAAGTTGTTTGATCAAACAACGGACTGATACTAATCGTCAAGACGAGAGACCTTGAATGCAGCCAGCCATGTGCCGTGTGCAATAGGCATTGTGTGCGATGCAAGAAATCAAGGTTAACAAAGATATTGCGAAAACTGCATGGGTTTGAATGAAATGTGTAATTTGTGCCAGAGCCAAACATACATGTCAATCATTTTGTGATAATTTGTGAAATATTTATGAAATTAGTTTTCTTTGACATTTTTTTTTTTTTTTTTGTTTATTGGAAAATTCAATTGAATTGAGAAAATTCAAAATTATAGTTTGGGGCAAGTCCGAAAATATTGGAAAAATCGTAAATATTTATTTAATTTACTATTTGGTCTTTAAAAGAAAATTCGTTAAAATCCAAAAATGCAGTCGAGAGGGTCCCTGAAAATATCCTTAAAAAAATCGACATAAATATTTAAAAAAAAAAAATACTTTTTAAGCTTTAGTGATCCTTAGAAAATATTCTTAAAAATTCGCGATTTTAACTCTCTCGAAACTTGAATGAATATCCTCAAAAAAAAAAACGGAGACCATAGCTTCAACTGGGCTTGAATTTTATTTCTCATTACGTCGAATTTTCCTCAAAAATCCACGATAAAAGCTCCGAAAATTCTCATAAAATATTTTGCAAAATCCACGTTAAAAACTCCTCATGAACTGAAAAACTCAGCGTGGAATGCTCAGAGGATCGTAGAAACAACATTCTTAAAAATCCCCGTTGACAGATCCAAGGATCCAAAAATTAATTCTAAAAATTTACGAGGATGGCTCCCATGTTTCTACATAAAATTTTCTTTAAAACCAAAAAGATAAAAATATTCTTAGAAAATGTATCTTAATAGCTCCTTAGGTCCTTGAAAAATATCCATGAATAAATATTCTTAAACATAACGCAAATTTTTGTTAAATTTAATGATATGTCTTGTAATGATTCCTCAAAAATCCATAATTCAGGCTTCTAGGGTTCTCAGAAGATGTTCTTAAAAATCAGGTCAATGTTGATAATATATTACCACGCAATCCAGTATTACAGCACTTTTAGTCCTTAAAAAGTAAGCTTTAAAGTCCACGAAAACTTCAAAATTGTTATTAAAAAAAAAAAACGTTAATGCCATGTTTACGTTAGAACTTTTTGTAGGGTTAACCTACTTTGAGAGGATTTATTTGAAGTAAAAGTAATGGGTATGACAATTTAAATCCAAATCCAGTGGGTTAACCCTCATATATATAAACGTACTATAAGAACCATTGAGGAATTCCCCAAAATTATAAATATATCTCATAAGGTTTTCAAAAAACAAGCATTACAAAATATTCACAACCATCATTTCGGAGGTCCTTGCAAATAAAATTGTTAAAAAATATCCACAATTATAGATTAGATAACTCTTCAGAAAATAATCTTAAAAATACGTCAACGTTCAACGTTAATGATAAATGCTGATTTAAAATCCACTGTTACAGTTTTGAACGTCCGTTAGAAAAAATGAAAAAAAATCTTCAACTATAACAATTTCAAAAACATATACAAAGTTGAAATATATAAATGTTAAAAAAAAATCCCTAATTTCAGTTTTGAAGATTCGGGATTATAGTTTATATACCTCGTCACAAAATACAAAAAAATACACAATTATATTCTCTGTCATATTCAAAAAAAAAAAAAAACACACTATTATACCCTCAGTGATATTTAAAAAACTGCAATAATATCCTCGGTAATATTTAAAAAAAAAATCCACATTTATATCCTCGGCGATATTTAAAAAAACTGCGATTATATCCTCGGTGATATTTTTAAAAATCCAAAATTATATCCTCGGTGATATTTAAAAAAAATTCACGTTTATATCCTCGGTAATATTTTTAATAAAAACCACGTTTATATCCTCGGTGATATATTTAAAAAATCCACGTTGTCCTCGGTGATTCTTAGCTAACCGAAAGTAAAATGCTTAAGAAAATATTAAAAAAAGGACAATATCCATCCATTAAAAAAATAAAAAAAAAACTACAATTATATCCCCTGTGACCCTAACAGCCAGTTCCACGATATCGAAAGAACACGTTCGCACAACTTTTACACGACAAACAGCTGATTTCCGTTCCACTAAAATCTATCAGAACGAAAATTTGCACGAAAATCAAAGCGAACGAAAACGTAAGCATTTCAGTGTAATTTTGCGTTCCACTATCTTTTTTCTTTCGTACGCATGCGAACACAAATGTCAAAATCAGTCACTTGTGTGTTTGCTATCGTATAATAACAATTAAGGAAAATTGTTTTAACATAAACATTGCTTGATTGAAAATGGAAACAAAAATGTAAGTAAAAATAATAAATGCAATTTAATATGTGAACAACAAATATATATTTTTTTATTTTCTCAATTCCAGCACGAAAAAATCATCAACTACACAGCAGCGGGCACTAGTTGAGTAAATGGAGGAGAATCCTGTGTTCGCCAGAGGAATGCCAATTTTTAGAAGCAGCAGAAGAAGTTTTAAATCGGGGCGGATTTGGGTAGTTCTGCAACCGGGCACCCACTTCTCTTCCATCATATCCAAAAGAGCCCGAAAACTTCCTTCGACACACGAAAGTTGGCCACAAACCTAGAAAAAATCATTTTTTATTATTTCAAAAATGTAAAAATACAATCATACTTACTGGTTGTTAGGTACTTCAAATAAATCCGAAGCATCTCTTAAATGCCTCCGTGGCACATTTCGAACCTCCTCCATAAAAAATAGGGCTACGGAAATATTCTTTTTTTTATTTTCTAAGAGCACAAATAGTTTGAACACAATCACTAAAAATTTTATTTTGTTTGTTTATTTACAATTTGTTTGTTTACAACTGAAATGTCAGTTGAGACAGAGCCACTGCTGCTTTTTCGCGTTTAAATTAGACATTTGACGCTTTTTTTGCTTTATTTCGCGATTAATTTTTCCAAAAAAATATTTAGCAACACTGAATCACGTAAGGCTATGCGAAAGAAAGAACGAAAGTTAGTGGAACGCATTCTTATACGAAAGTGAGTGAGTAGCCTTCGTTCGCACAAATTTTCTTTCGAGATCGTGGAACAGGCTGTAAATAAATAATAAAAAATAACAATTATATCCTCGATGAACCTGCCGAAAATATTAAAAAAAAATCCACGATTATATCCTTGTTCATCTTATCCTTGATGATCCTCAACAAAATAATTCAAAAACGCTGTCGAATGTTGCTCTGCGGTATTTTGGTATATTCCCGGCTAAGCGATTGCTTGAGGTGATTGATGGTATTTTTTAGTGCCAACCTTGCTGTCCTAAATACCCCAGACACAAAAGTCCAACGGATTGGTATCCAGAGATTTTGGTGACCATTGTACCCTGGAAATGAAGCGAGGAACCCCATTTTGTAACCATTCTTGGGTGGCGCGTGCTGAGTTCGATGGTGCTGAGTCCTGTTGGAATGTCCAAGGTCTGCGGCCAAAATGTTTGCATGCCCAAGGCTTTAATACACCCTCCAGAATATATTCGCGATAATATTTGGAATTTATTCTGATGCCACGGTAGACTAATACGAGCGGAGAGCGACCATCGGCTTTTATAGCGGTCCACACCATCACCATGGCCGACGCTTGAGTTCTGCTGGCCAACCGAAGCTGCATATTTTCAGCTGACATCTTTGGCAAGTCATTTTGTTTGTTTAGAAACAGCTGGACAACGAATGTTTTCTCATCGGAGAAAACCAAATTCGGCAGTTTAACACTTTCGGCCAACCGAAGCAACTTTTTAGCTCTTTTGAGTCTATTTTCTTTCGGTTGCGGTGTAAGTTCTTGCACTTTTTGGAATTGCAATGGCTTAACCCCCAGCTAATTTTTCAAAATTTGCCGAATGGAATATTGCGATATGTTCAGCTCACGAGCCATTTTTCGGTCACTGCGACGCGGGTTTCGATCAAGTCGCTTCTTTACTTTTCGAACCATTTTTGCTGATGTAGATGTTTTCTTCCGTCTACTTCCTTGAAATGGGGCTACGCTACCCGTATCGCGGTAACGAGCGATGGTACGAGACACAAAAGACTTATTCACATTTAAATGCTGGAGTGCTCTTACGATAGTTACTTGTGGTTCTCCAGCCAAATATAAAGAAACCACACTATCACGCTAGAATTCCATTACGAATAACTTGTTTCTGAAAAAATTCTCACCAAAATGCTTTTGTACGCTTGTAAACAATACAAAGAGCTGTCACTGAAATAATTTTAACAGCTGTCGGACGAGTGCCTTAGAAATGACAGGGAGGTATAATTATATCGACGCTATTCTGTCATATTGTTTACCCAAATTCTGAATTTGAAATAATTCCGGAGAAAATGTAACTTAAGTTGTAAAAATATCGAATATCGGGAGGTACAGTTATATGGCTATACCATGGTAAAATTATGAAGGTAAATTCATTCCAAATAATAATAATGTACATCTCTGCATTTTCTACTGACTTGTGTATATAGACAATGAGATATTGTCAAATGCATAATTTTGAAAAATCATAACTTTACCTTCTTCATTCTACCATGGGCTATATGAAGACTTAGGCCTGTATAGGCAATTCTCTGTCATAGAAAGGAACACCCATCAAGTACCAAACCTGAAACAGTTACGATGAAAGTTTTGAGGAATTCATCAAAATGCCGAATATTCTATCTAAATGGACAGTTTAATGTCAATTTACAGCCAATTCGTGACTAAAACTAATTATAATTGGGCCCTCCACCATTTGGAACGAATTTGGAAATTTTCAAAAAATAAAATCTGTTAAAAATGCTGTTAAAATCTTGAAAATACCGAATATAGCCGTTATATAAGGGTCTATATGGCCTACATAGGCTTTGTTTTTCATAAGCCATTAGTATATTCAAATTCGAAACTTGAAATAAACGGTGAATAATGTAGCTAAAATCGTCAAAATACCGCATATAGGGAAGTACCGTTATATCGGAGCTATATGAAGACCTGGACCTGCATAGATAATTTTCTGTCACAGGCTGTAGCATCCATTACGAACTTCAAATGCGACATCTCATACAATTTCGGTGTATTGTACCTAAAATCGTCAAAATACCGAATATAGGGTGATTCTGATATATGGAGCCTATACGAAGTCCTGTAGTTCCGATTAGGAACTCTTAATACGTAATTTGAAACTACTCCGGTGAATAATGACGCTAAAATCATCAAATATTGGGAGGTACCCTTATATGGGGGCTATATGAAGACGTGGACCTGCACAAACAATTTTCTGTCGTAGGCTGTTGTATCCAAACCGAACTTCAAATGCCAAATTTGAAACAATTCCGTTGAATAATGTCGCTAAAATCATCAAAATACCGAATATCTGGAGGTACCGTTATATGGGGGCTATATGAAAACGTGGATCTACTTGGCCCATTTACGAACATAACATGCGTACTTGCAAAATAAACATGTGTGCAAAATTTTCTTCTTCTATCTTCTATCTCAATTCGTTCGAAATATAGCGTGAATACAGCATACAGACAGACGGACATCGCTAAATCGCCTTAGAATTTTACGCTGATCAAGAATATATATACCTTGTTGGGTCTGACATGAGTATTTCGAGGATTTACAAACGGAATGACAAAGTTAACCCTCCATAGTATGGTGGAGGGTATAACAACCTAAGGTCCTTAAATGTGGGGCTATACCATAACTTAAACATATATATCCCATTATCAATACGAAAAGTCCTGCAGACCTAAAACACATTTGAGTACAATTTATTCAACCTAACATTTGAGATTATTGCTTGGAAGTTCCTTCAGATAATACCCCTGAAATACCTCGAATATAACTTCTCTTGTACTTAAAAAAAATATTCCTAAAAAATCGAAAGTTTGAGCTCAGTAGGTCCTAAATATAATATTCTTCAAAATCCACCATGACAACTCAGCTTGGTCTTAAAAAAATTAATCGGCTAAAAACTTATGAGGAAAAATAGATCCATTTACTTATCACCAACCTATCCAAATGCCTAATAGTTAATGACATTTCTGTTTCAAATGTGGGCACATTTTAATTAACGAACGGAATTTTGTCAACGCAATTCCTAATGGGAATATTTGTGGGCTCAGCAGACATAACTTGTGCGCCAGATGAATTTTTGGGCCATATTTTGTAAATGTCCCATTTGCAGGCCAACTAACAACCAACCACCGAATAACAACTACTTACAAACAAACATACACGGCACGTTTAGTGCAATCTGTGCACATTTTATGAAAAGGCGTGTGTGTGTGAGTTTGTGTTTTTGTACAACTTTTGCGTGTGCTGTTGTTGTTATTGGTGGCATTTAAGGCGGCCGCGTGTTTTGTTCGCATAAAAGCCACATTTATCGGATTATTAATGAATGGAAGAAAAACTACAATGCCCCAAACATACGTACTCGCACAACAGCCCGACAAAAAAGTGGTTTTGAGGAATGAATGAATTTAGCAGTTTTTTTTTTGTTCATATGTATGTGTGCAAAATAGGCAGTACCGGCAAGCAACTGTAAATGGATGGACAATCCGGCACGTCGGACAGACACAAATGCAATATGCGTGCCTATCACCCAGATAGAAGATATATGAACGCTCGCTCAGCGATTATTCCATTGAATTGGCGAATGGTTGAATTGAGTTTTTTTTGTTGTTGCTTTAACTGGATTTATTACATTGTCGATGATAATTGCTTGCTTTTTTACTATATTTAACAGATGTTAATAAATTTGTGTTATGATTACTTAGCGATTCCGGGTTACACAATTCTCTACTATGGGTTTTTTGTCGGTATTTAAGTCGGAGACCCCGCACGCATTTTTGCAATAAATGTTGCTATAACGACATTTGATCGGAAGCAATAAAAATATTAAATTTATCAGATATTTTATTGGAAAATTAGATACCAGATATGAATTATATTGAAACGTGAGAAATATAAAACAATTATTTGAAAAAATCTTGGAGCAACAGCAGAGCTAAAATATTAAAAAAAATCAACAGCTGAATTTATGAAATTTCAATTTTTTTTTTTGGTCGGATAATTATCGAAATCCATTTTTTGTGTATTTTTAAGAACTTTTTGTAATCAGCGATATCAGTTCTGATAGTTAGTTTAAGAATATTCCTAAAAATACTCTATTATAGCTTATGAAGGGTGTGATGAAAAAACTGCAACCAACTTCAGGCTGCTGTCATTTCTAAGCCACTCGTCCGACAGCTTTAAAAATTATTCCTGTGACAGCTCATTATATTGTTTACAAGCGTACAAAAGCATTTTGATGAGAATTTTACGGAAAAAAAGTTATTCGTGATGGAATTCTAGCGTGATAATGTGAACTCTTTATATTTGGCTGGAAAACCACAAATGGCCATCGTTAGAGCACTCCAGCATTTAAATGTGAATAAATCTTTTGTGTCTCGTACCATCGCTCGTTACCGTGATACTGGTAGCGTAGCCCGACGTCAAGGAAGTGGACGGAAGCAAACAGCAACTTCAGCAGAAATGATTCGAAAAGCGATTTGATCAAAACCCGCGTCGCAGTGGCCGAACATATGGCGTGAGCTGAACATATGGCAAGATTCCATTCGGCAAATATTGAGAAATGAGTTCGGTGTACAGCTATTGAAATTCCAAAAATTTCAAGAACTTACAGGGCAACAGAAAGAAAATAGACATAAAAGAGATAAAGAGTTGCTTCGCTCGGCCGAAAGTGTTGAACTACCGAATTCGGTTCTCTCCGATGAGAAAACATTCGTTGTCCAGCAGTTTGCAAACAAACAAAATGATCGGCGCTTGCCAAAGAGGTCAGCAGAAAGTGCACATTTTCAGTGCACTTCGGTTGGCCAACAGAACTCAAGCGCCGGCCATGATGATAGTGTGGGCCGCCTAAGCAGCCGATGGTCGCCTTCCGCTCGCGCTCTTATTAATCGACCGTGGCATCAGAATAAATGCCGAATATTACTGCGGAAATATTCTGGAGGGTGTATTAAAGCCTTGGGCACGCAAACATTTTGGCCGCAGACCTTGGACATTCCAACAGGGC